TTCCCTTGGACAGCCGTGCCCAGGTGAGCTCTTTCGGTCTCCTGACGGCAGCTGCACATCCATCCTGGTGGCTCCTCACTGGTGTCCCCGGACCACCCCCAGCCGGTGCCTGTCCCCTGCATAGCTCTGCACACATGCAGACCTCCCCGGCACGGACAGCTCTGTTCACACGATCGCTCAGGACAAGGACCTGGAAGCATCTTTGACTTTTCCCCCTCCCTTCCTCCTTCCTTCCTTCCTGGGCTTTTGGATCAACCTTTAGAATCTCTTGGGTTTTAGCTTCTCACCACTGTCACCCCGATTTCCTTAGGACAACTCACCACCACCCTTCGTGGAGCGTGTTCCTTCTGCGTGTCCTCTCGGGTCCTGCTTCCTCACTGCATTCAGGTCTCACTCAACATAGCGCCTCTTCAGAGAGGCCTGAAAGACCACGCCAGGAAAACAGCACCCCCTTCTTCCCCTGGTTTTATGTTTATTATAGCTCTTATCACTAACTGACGGCACACTGGTAATGCATATGTGTGTGCACATATATGTGTACGTACACATACACGTATGCATACGTGCACACCCATACATATACACACACACACACACACATATATGCTGAGATGACAAAGTTCTAAAAGTTTCGAGTGGTTGTCCCTAAGTCTATTTTTTTTTCTCCTAGTGACTCCATCCAGCTTAACAAGAAGTGATCTTATATGTAACTCACTAACACGACCCTTTTCCATATTGATGTACATACACTTGGTACAAGTGATAAGTAAAATAATTTTTTTAATATATATTTTTGGTTCAGGTTGGCTTTCTCAGTTATTCCAAACTTTACGTTGAGTCATTGTTTCAGATGATCCTATAAAGGAGTGAATTAATTAAAACGTATTGAAGCTGCCAGAGGAGCAGACTCTTAGGAAACAGGAACCCTCACCCTGTGCCTGTGTATCCTGTTTGTTTCAGTTACTGCGAGGGCCCTGTGTGGCCTAAAGGTCCCTACACAGTGTGACGTCCTGCAGAGCAGGGACTGTGTCTTCTTCATCTGTCTATCACTCCGTCCTGGTGTCAGGGTGGGTGGTGGGGGTGCAGGAAAAGTTTGAGGAATGGATGAATATTTACTACAGGTGTCCTGTGCAAACATGCATTGCTGGTGTTCTGCAAAAGCAGGCACTAAAAATACCAGGGTTCATTGAGACTGAGCACGTGAAGCCTGTGTGGCATTGCAGCCGGGGTGCCTGGGCCATTGCAGCCGGGGTGCCTGGGCAAGCGTGCAGCGTGGCTGGAGGGAGGACACACAACCAGCCGAAATGCTGCAGCGCTTCATCTGTGCCCGTTTGCTGGTGCTGAGGCAGAGCAGGTGCAAGGTAGCTGTGTACCAGTGGGCTGCTGTCTGGGTGGGGACAGGGGCTTTGCAACCTGCCAACAGCCTGCAAACCACACAGGGATATCCCAGCACACCTCCTGGGCAGAGAGCTCAGCAGCCAGGCTCTCCTTATAAAGCTTTTTATAATGCAGCTCGAAAAGGTGCCTACTGCCAGTGCTCCAGCTGAGCAGAGAGCTTTTCTTCCTGCGGGAGATTTTAATTCTATTTATGGGCTCTTCTTACCTGGGGGAAATGGCAGCAACGTGCAGTAAAGGAGACTTATTATCTTGTGTTTGAAGGATTGGAATTTATTGTCAAGCAAAGGCAGAAGATAGATTTGCAACAGAGCGGATGCCATTTCCTGCAATGTGTATCTTGATGCTGCTCAGGACCAAGGAGGACCAGCTTTCTGTAGGCAAGAGGCCCACTCTCTGTCAGGGTAGGTGACGTTTGGAGGTCCGGTTACAGCTCTCCGCTGGGGGAGACGTTAGCAATGAAGACTGCAGCCCTGAGCAGCCCGGTCCCTAGTGTTGCAAGAAAATTCCCATGTTCAGGCTGCACATGGGCAAGGCTTGCTATTTCAGTAAAGGAACATTAAGGAGAACATATCCTTAAGAGAAATGTGGGGCTGTCCACCAGGGTTTGTCTCGTGTCTGCTGCTCTCTGATGCTCTGCCTTGAAGAGCCTGGGATGGCCCAGCAGAGGCAGAGGGGGAAAGAGAAAGGTGCAGTAGATTTTGTTCTTTGCCTCCCTGGCCAGAAATGCCTGAAAATAAATAGAGTTAAGATATTGGTGTTGTGGTCCTGATGAGCAAAATCTATACTTGAGAAAAGAGAATATTTGGGAAATCCTGGTATAATCTTGCCTTAGTCTTTTAAATTTTTTTTCCAATTGATAAATTTCTTTCTTCCTTTTTAAATAATAGTTTCATTGAAATATAATTCACACAGCATAAAAATCGCCAGTTTTAAGTGTGCCGTTCAGTGGTTGTTAGCATATTGGTGAGTTCTGCAGCCATCACCACTCTTCCATTCCTGACCATTTTCAGCACTAAGTCTCTGCACCCATGAACACCCACTGCTTACATACTCCGAGTCTCTGCAAACAGTGATTTACTATCTGCCGCTGTAGAGTTGCCTATTCTGGACCTTGCATGTGGTTTTGCATGATCCGTGACCTTCAGTGTCTGGCTCCCTTCACTCAGTGCACTGTGTCCAGGACTCACCCACCTGGTAGCATGATTGGTACCACGGGCCTTCTTAGGGCCACCTCCATTGTGTGGCCATCCCACAGTGTGTGTTGCACATTTTCCAGCTGGTGGAAATAGGGGTTGTTTCTACTTTAGGATATTATGAATAACGCTGTGAACTCTCACGTGTAGGTTTTTGCGTGGAGATGGGTTTTCATTTCTTTGGGGTATGTACCAAGGTGTGGAATTGGTGGGTCATGTGGCAACTCTATGTTCAACACTCGGAAGAACTGCCAAGCCATTTCCTAAAGCCGCTGGGCCACTTGGCATTCCCACCAGCAGTGTGTAAGGGTTCACACTGCTTCACATTCTTGCCTGTGATTGTATTACCTGTCTTTTGATGCTAGCCGTCCTAGTGGGTGTGAAGTGGTATTTCATTGTGGTTTCGATTTGTATCAGTTGAGTAAACATGGAAGGCATCTTTTCATGTGCTCATTGGCCCTTTGTATATCTTCTTTGTAGAAATATCTGTTCAAATCCTTTGCCTATTTTTTTTATTTGGGTTGTCTTTTCATTATCAAGTATTCTTTATATATTCTGAATACAAGGTCCTCATCAGATATATGATTTGCAAATATATTCTCCAGTTATGTGGGTTGTCTTTTTACTTCTTCTTTTTTTTTTTTTTTGAGACAGAGTCTCACTCTCTTGCCCAGGCTAGAGTGCCGTGGTGTCAGCCTAGCTCACAGCAACCTCAAACTCCTGGGCTCAAGTGATCCTCCTGCCTCAGCCTCCCAAGTAGCTGGGACTACAGGCATGCACCACCATGCCCGGCTAATTATATATATATTATTTTTTTTTAGTTGTCCAGCTAATTTCTTTCTATTTTTTTAGTAGATATGGGGTCTCTCTCAGGCTGATCTCTAACTCCTGAGCTCAAATGATGCTCCCTCCTTGGCCTCCCAGAGTCCTAGGATGACAGGCATGAGCCACCAGGCCTGGACTTTTTTTTACTTCTTGATGGTGGTTTCTGACATAAAGTATTTTCATTTTGATGGATTCCAGTTTGTTTATTTTTTTTTTATCTTATTGTTTGTGGTTTTGTTGCCACATTTAAGAAACCATTGCCTCATTCTAAGATCACAAAGATTTACTCTCATGTTTTTTTTAATAAGTTATAAGAGTTTTATAAGTTTAGCTCTTACATTTAAATCTGCGATTCCTTTGGAATTAATTCTTGTGCAGGGTTTAAGGTCTGTGTCTAGATTCAGTTTTATAGCACCATTTGTTGAAAAAAACCACCATTTACTCACTGAAATGTCATGATACTATTGTCAAAAATAAGTTAAACACGAATGTATTTTTGGTTTATTTTTGGACTGTCTATTTTGATCCTTTAATCTGTATTTTCTTCCTTATGCCAGCATTACACTATCTTGATTAGTGTAGTTTATAGTACATTTTAACATTAAGAAATCTAGGTCTTCCAACTTTATTTTTCTTTTCCAGGTTCTTTTGGCTATTCAGGGTCTTTTGGATTTTTTTGTGAATTGTAGGATGAAATTGTTAATTTTTGTAAAAAAAAGCAGCTGAGATTTTAATAGAGATTGCATAGACTCTTTTTACTCAATTAATCTAATAATCAATTTGGAAAGTATTGCTATCTTAACAATATCGTTTTCCAATCTGTAAATACAGATGTCTTTCTTTTTATTTTGGATCTTCTTTAATTTCTTTCAATGATGATTTGGTAGTCTTCAATGTACAAATGTAGTATATCTTTTGTTAAATTTATTTTTAAATATTTTATTCTTTTTGTTCTGTTCTAAAGTGCGTCTCTTGTAACAGCATCTAGCTGTCATTCATTCTTCCAATTTCTGCCCTTTGGAGTGTCTGAACCATTTAATGTGATCGCTGATAAAGCTGATTTTATCTCTGCCACTTTACTATTTGTATTCTATGGGTCTTATGTCTTTTGTGTCTCTCTGTTCTTCCGTTTTGCCTAATAGATAGCTTCATTATACCATTTTATTTCCATTTTTGTTTATTATACATTTTTGAGTTCTTATTTTCCTGGTTGCCCCGGGGACCAGGCGTTTCTGTAGACCTCTCCCTGTGGGAGTCCCACTGGGCAAAGCCGAGTGGCAGTGATTGGGACAGGAGGGGACAGAATAGGAGATCCAGGGACAGTTTGTCATCCCAGAATTGTCTTGTGTTGATGCATTTATCTGTTAAGTTCTTGGTGAATATTTTGCTTAGTAAACCTCAGTCCCTTCTCCCCTGAACTGTTATGCTTTGCAGGTGTTTGATCGGGTGAGATTTCTAGTAATTCTGCCAGTGGTCTTCCCTCCAGGCCCAAGGCCGGTGCTGGGGTGAGGCTGGAGAGCCGGGCTTCGTGCCCTGCTCCCTCCACTCTGCCCTCTCACCGCCCCGCCCTTCTCTCCTCCCCAGGTAGCCGGCACCCTGCTCACCTGACATGCCTCCAGGTGCCCCAGCTCTGCAGGAAGCCCTGGTGCCAGCGACCTTCTCCCCCTCCTTCCTTCGCCGCGGGACATGAGGGAGGAGCCAGCTGGGCGCACGTAAGCGCCACGGACGGACGCCAGACTTGGCCGGAACGTAGTTCTTCTCCTGCCCTCTGGCTGCTCAGAGGTAACTTTGAATTTGGAAAATGAAGGCTTGCAAACCTTAATGTGTCTCTTCTTAGTGGACTCTCAGACCACTGTCCGGCCTGCCTCAATGGATTTTCCTACACCTCTTAAGCCACGCCTTGTAGGCAGTTGCCTAGTGGTTTCCCCTGAATGAATTTTAAAGATGGTCCTCAGCACATTATGCTAAACTATTGCAGTAGTTTGTGCTTTACAGAGATTTGCACGATTCCTTATTTACTGCTTATCACAGTCTCGCGAGTGTCAAGTTTTAGAAGGTCAGAGTGATACACCCAGATGCTCCCTGATCCTTAGTTCACGGAGAACATAGGGACCGAGCCCCTGTGTCGTGCTGGGACTTGCTCTAGCGCAGGACACACAGGGGACGCAGCCGTGCCACTGCCCACTCTCCCGGGATGCTGTGCTAGTGGGGGCGTGTGTGGATGGTGGGGTGCAGACAGGCACGGAGGGACGGGCAGCACACGGTTGACAGTGCGAAGAAGCAATTATTCCATGCTACCTGACAAGGCACCAGTGTTGTGGGGAAAAGAACAAGTGGGCTGAGTTTAGTGGGTAGGACAGGTTTCGGGCTCCAGTGGAGTGTCCTGGGAGGTCTCATTGGAAAGGTGACATTTGTACGTGGACCTGAAGGTGTTGCAGGAACTAGCCATTTAGCATCCATGCAGGAGCATCGTAGTGGGAAGGGACAGGTGGCACGGGGCCCTCGGCCAGAGCATGGCACTTTGGAGGAAGCCTACAGCCGTGGTGGCTGGCAGGGAGGCAGCGGGAGGGGTGAGCTGGGGTGGGCTGGCGGAGGTGACAGGGCCTGGCTGTGGCTGGCACTGCAGGCTGGTGGGGGATTCTGGGTTCATGATGAGGAATCAGTGCAGGGTTTAAGCGGAGGAGAGACAGGGTCTGCATTCCATTTTAATAGGGTCCCTCCGGCCTCTGCATGGGGAACATGCTGTAGAGTGGAGGACGAGGGTAGAGTCCAGGGGACATCTCAGAGAGAAGCCCGTAACCCAGATGGGAGACCATGGTGCCATGCTCTGCTGGTGGCAGTGGAGTGGTGGCCGCGTTCTGGGTGTAGTTAGAAGAGGGAGCCCTGCAGATGTCCTGGCAGAGTGCATGTGCACTGTGAGAACAGGGAGCAGTCTGTGTGTACTGATGCCAGGGACTTTCGTTTGAGTCACTAGATGGTGTTGTCAGCAACTGAGGTGGGGGCGGCTGCAGCTGGGGAGGGTTTGGGCCCGAAGAGAGATTAGAAGTTCGGTTTGAACATGTGGAATTTAAGATTATGAGACGCCCTGATGGAGACGCCGAGTGGGCAGTTGAGCCCAGGCTGGTGGTTTCTGAGGGCCGTCTGCCCTGGAGGGGTCACGGGAGCCTGTGGTCTGTGGCTGGCATTGACCGAATAGGCTCAGATGAGATCCCCGTGAGAGAGGAGGAGTTTTAGGGGTTGGACCTGGGCCCTCCAGCGTCATGGGGGACAGGAGAAGAGGACAGGCTAGTGAGAGGGAGCCACCAGAGGGGCAAGGGGAGCCAGGCGTGGGATCATGTCAGAAAGGAGGGAGTGCAGGGCTGGCCCAGGGCTCCAGGCCTGGGTCCCGGGCAGGCCCTGGTCTTCTGGCTGTGGTGGCACAAACAGCTTGGGAAGGTGCAGGGGAGGGGTTGGAGACAGACTGTCCACAGCTGTTCTGAGAAGCTTTGCTGCAGGAAGGAGCAGGATACGGGGTGGTGTCTGGTGGGGCGAAGAGGGGCAGGAGGACCGTGTGTCGTGGGGATGCTTTAGCAGCAAGTTCATAGGTAGATGGGAGTGACCCAGTGTGGACGGGGGACTGTTCATTGGTGCTGCAGGACAGACGGTTGCTGAAGGCATTTCTCGAGTAGGAGAGAGAGGGGACTGTGGACAGTGGAGGTCCGTCCTGGCTGTAGGAGACGCACAGATAGTTACCAGGGGGAATGGGCCCGATGGCAGATGGGGGGTGGCACTTGGAGGGGGGGCTCTGCAGCTCTCTTCCGATTGTTTGTCTTTCCTCTGTGAAATGGGGCACAGTCAGCAGCTGAGGTGATGGGGAGGAGAGGGGGGAGATTCGCAGAGACAAGGAGGCAGCAGAGAGGCCTCTTGGAGGGGGTGCAGAGTGGCCGCCTGCGGGCAGCGGGAGCCCACCGGCAGCTGTGGCCACGCACTGAAAGCGTCACTCTGGGAAGGGCGGCCGCCCGCTTCCCACCCGCTTCCCAGACAGCCGAGCTGGGGGTTGGTGCACGGGGCGGCGTGTCAAGAACTGAATGACCTTTGATTGCTTGGCCAAGCAGAGAGGGCCGGAGGGCGGGAGTGGCCACCGTTGGCGTGTGTGCAGGAGAAGGATGATCGCGCTCACTTGCACAGGGGGTGACACGGGAAAGTGAGGAGAGGGAATGAGGGGCGATGCGGGACGGGAGACGCAGGAAGGGGTCGTTTGCACGGTGGGGCCGGAGTGCTGGAAAAAGGGCTGGAGCAGTCCCGGGTGGTCTGGGGTGGTGCGAGGAACTGGGAATTCGGGGCGTTTGCGGGACCCCCGAGTTCCAGCCCTCCTCCTCCGCAAGCCCTGGCTCCTCAGTGACCCGGCCTCGCATTGTCATGGTCTGACTGTAGAAGGGCCAGCTGGAGAAAGCTTGCTGGCCACCGGCTCCACGTGCAGCGTTACTCGATGTCCTGTTGGTGACACGGGGACTGTGCTGCTCACGGGTCACAGGTACTTGTCCTGGCTGGGTCCCCGTGGCCTGGTCGTGGCCATGTGGACGTTGACATTGATTGAAGCTGCCCTCCCACTCCCTCTTTGATTCCTTGGAAAATACGTGCATTCTGATTAACTTTAACTTAGAGATTTTAGGAGTATTGCAGCTTTCCTTGCGGTGCACTTATTGGTTGAGATACGTAGAGCCCCCTCGAGTGTGCGGGAAAGCATTAAAGCGCTGGCGGAAACGCACGTCAAGGCCAAGTGGAATTTTACATCCTTCCCTGCGTGGCCCCCACCCCCTCCCGGGACACTCTGTCTGGGAATCTGCCTCAGACAAATTCCAGAACTGTGGAGCGGCGTCATATTCACAAAACATTCATGGCAAAGAGGACAAAAGAGGGCAAAATATCAGAAAATGACATTCCAGGACAAGCAAAGATATTTTTTAATGTTTAGGATTTTAGAGTAATATTTTTAAATGTTTAGGATTTATAGAGCGAGATGGTTTTCGTGGACTATGACCCACCACCCTTAGTTCACCCTTCTGTGATTGAAGTAGCTAAATCTGAAACACAGGTTTTTGTTCTGTTTTGTTTTTTTTTTGTTTTGTTTCCCAAGTGGAGAGAATATCATTGGCTTTTTTTTGAAAAGAAAGAAACCTTTGGCTCGTGGGCCTTCAGGGCAAAGGTCATCTTGAAACACAAACTAGAAACGAAAATGTGAGTACCCTGCTCTAGTTCTTCGTGGGTTCAGAGTTGCTGACGTGGAGAATTGAGACAGTATTTTTAGAAATGGAAACCGTTAGAGATGCTGTTCTGAGATGTGGCGGCTGGTGGCTCTGTTAAAATCGATCACAGCGACCACATTTTCCGTGTTTAGCTCAGTCAGTTATAGTTTTTTGTTTTTTGTTTTTGGAGTGCTGTGGTCCATTTCCATACGTGGGCTGTGCCGTAGGCTGCGGCAGTCTGCTGCTGGGTCTGCCTTCTCCAAAGCCTGCCTGGGGTGGACAGGGGCCGGATTGCAGGGGGAGGGATGACTCCAGGTAAAGGAGCGGCCGGTACCTGTTCCCTCTGATGTATGGGTTTCTCCAGAAAGGCGGAGCAGACATGAATCAGCATCCATTATAGGCAAGGTCGCATGCCGCGGGCCCTGAGGGTAGATGGGGAGACACAGGCTTCCGTCTGTAAAAATACGGTTTTCTTTGAGTGACGTTAACAAGCTGAGGATGTGGACTGCGGTTCTGGAAACTTGAGCACAGGCCAGAGTAAAACCAAGGCAGTGAGCGATGGATGCTGAGGACTAGAAGAACTCCCACAACCAAGGCGCGGTGGGCCTGCTGCGGGGAGAGGACAGGGGCGAGACGGGGCCCCACACACGGGACTGGGGGGCCGCGGGGGCTGAGGAGGTAGGGTGAGCCGCCCTGGGGACAGGGGACAGCCCTGACAACACGTGGGGGGGGGAGAGAAAGGACTCGGAGCAAAGGGTTCTGGACGGGCATCCTGGGTGGGCGCTGCGGGGCTTCGAGGGACAAGACTGCAGGTGGCGAGAAGATGCAGTAGGAAAAGTGGCTCGTGGGGCTTAGCAAACATTAATGCGATTTTTTTTTCCTGATTTTAAAAATAGAGTTTTGGTGGCTCCCAAAAGCGTAACGATAGAGCTTCATAGGCACATGTGGTACACATTTACCAAAGAATTATCGTGCCTCCCTCCTCCCATGCTTCTAGCATCATAAATAGCTTCTAATTTCAGCTCCACTTAACAGTGCTTTATCAGATATTAATGAGAACACCATTAGTGTCTTGCCCTTATAATCTGTCATAAAATGGATAATAACATAATTCAATACCTCACTCTCACTTTACTCCTCACCTTGCTGAGTTTAATAACCTATTTTATGAGTTGTGTTCCATAGTCTATTTCTCAATGTTTTAAAAGTGTTTCCCTGTCTCTAAATATATAAACTATAAATAAACATGACACAGATAAATGTATATGCGAACATATATATAATAAATACAAAAATATTTATTTACATTTAAAATTACGCCGACACCTTTTCTGATAGAATGTAGGTCTGACTGGCTGATTGGTTTGACGGTGAGAACCTTCCTTTATCTCTTTGGATATTGGAATGAGCTAAAGATGCAAATAATATTGACAAACATGCAATTAAAGCATTTGTTATAATAAAATCATGTATAAAGTTTTTTTTCAAGCTTTTGCTAAGTACATTGGCTTCAACAAGGTGCCTTTTTAAGAGAAAAAGTAATGAGTACAATTAAGT